AACATCAGCCGACAGTGCGAGTTGCATCTCATGCAAAACTAAGGAAGTGATACTCCCACTGTACTCCTCACTGGTGAGACTGTAGCTGGAGTACTGCATCCAGTTCTGAGCATTACACTTTAACAAGGATGTGGAAAAACTTGAGAGGGTCCAGAGGGGTTCCAACCATAGGAACAGGGACTTTCAAGACAAGCCATACAAGGAGAGGCTGAGGGACTTGGGCCTCTTCGGCCTACAGAAGAGAAGGCTGGGAGGGGACTTAGTAGCGGCTTACTGCTACATCAGGGGAGTACATCAAGAACTCGGTGAACAGCTGTTCACCAGGGCACCCCTGGGGAAGACCAGGAGCAATGGCTACAAACTCCTGGAAGGTTGCTTCAGGCTCAATTCCAGGAAAAACTCCTTCACAGTCAGGGTGTCCAGACTGGAATAAACTCCCTCCAGTGATGGTGCAGTCACCTACCCTAGAAATCTTCAAAAGGAAACTGGACAGTCACCTCACTGGGGTCACTTGACCCCAGTTGTCTTTTCCTGCCTAGTCCAGGGGGACTGGACCCAATGATCTACAAGATCCCTTCCAGCCCCTAACAATCTATGAATCTATGAAGGCTCAGATGGGGACTGACCTGTCTGCCTTAATGGAAACAGAACAGTGGCCTGAGGAATGCTAATTTGTTTTCTTTCTGAGTTTCTGTTGGATTTGCTTGCTGTACTGGTGTCTTTTGTCATGCTCTGTGAACTGGATTCAGGTCTCTTCAGGCTGGTGAAAGGTCTTCAGGAAAGCAGTGGTTCCATTGTTGGTTGAAATTGTATGTGTGCATGTAGACGAGGTACTATAGAGATGTTCTCTGCAAAAATGCACAAAGTTTGCAAACCCTTAACTGTAAATAAAGTTTAGTCTAAAAGTTAAAAAGTAATAGAGCGCACACATGGGAGTATAACAGCTAGTTCCTGTCTCGGACGGCCAGAGCCGACTCGAGGTGATTTAGAAATTGCTCGTTCGTCAGGGCGGGCTGGTGAATGGAGAGGCAGACAAGGTTTAATGGTTGCAAGAACGTTTACTTACGCCGCGTGTAGTTGCGACGCAGATGGTCCGGTCGTCTGAACAACTACGTGAGTTGTTCCAGCTGGCGAGGCCCAAGCCAGTTAATCCGTCCGCAAATCAAGCCGGCGGGAAAAGGTTACGTCTGGGATTGTGCTCGGCGACGGGAAGAAGGATCGATAGGTGATCTGTCTATCGATCAGCTAGCCGCAAGTCAGATCTCTTTAGAGGCACTCTGCAGTGTGCTCAAAGTTCTTCGACTTGGGCGGAAGTCGCGCGAATTTTTAAACGGCTAGCAAGCCAATTACTAGCCACCACGTGTGAATAATTTAGCACTGGCCAATAGCAGGACACAAATTTGCATTCGAATAGTGGGAACTCTTTGCACCGTGCATTTCTGTGCTGCAAGGAAGAAATGCACCCTGCAAATTGGCGGGAACTCTCTTGCACCGAGGTTCTTCTGCTACAACAGAAAACCTTTACTGTGCAACAGGCTCTCATGTGGCAAGGAAATTCCATCGTGCCGAGGCACCAAAATCACTGGGTTGTGACAGTTCCCAAATCCTTTTAATCCCTGTTTGTTTACCCTTGTTATGGCTGACTTAGAATGGCTGGTGGCTAACTCAGCCCTTTGCCCCTTCCCATGTAAAAAAGAAAAACTTTCTACACATGGAATGATTAAGATACCTTTTTCTTAGAATTCTAAGAATACTACTCTAGGTTAGATAGAATTAGCTACTAATTCTATCTAACCTAGAGTAAATTAGATAGAATTACTAACTAATTAGTAGCTAAACAATACATACACACTGGATGCATCTACACTTGCAATTAAGGCAAAGTGATAAACTCTGGAGCACTTTGAGCCAGAGTACACTGCTTCTATGCACAGTGTCTACACATGCAACTGAGACAGCAGCACTTAAGCCAGGGCAGAGCAGGCCTAGATTGGCAGCAGGCTTAGAGGGTGAGCCCTGACTTTTAGGTGGTGGCATTGAGTGGAGGAGGAGCTGGCTGGGGCACGAGAGTGTTGAAAGTGTGGAGCCGTGTAGCTAGGCAACAGCTAGGAGTCTGTCCCCCGCCCAGTCACTGTCTACACATGCATTTCAAAGCAGTAAATTTTCCCACCAACAATACTATCTTACAGCAGAGTTAGTTAGTTTACTGCGTCTTAATACTGGCACACTGTAGATGGTGATGTTTTACTACAGAGCTAAGTAGTCAACTCTGCAGTAAAGCACATGTGTATATGAACCCATTGTGTACTATGCAAGTGTTTACACTGCCAAACTCCATTTTTGATGCAGATTCTCATGTATTTCAAATACCATTCAGATGCCATAATGTCTAATGAGACATCAGTAAGTCTATTTATATAGTATTAGTATTGCATTCTAGTAACTCATCTGTAATAAAGATCATACAGATATTCCAGAATTTTAACTAACTGCTTTCACAATGCAAGGCATGCATTTCATAGATAGACAGATATGTTTCCCACAGTAAATGTGGAAATAATTACCTTAGATACTGCAGCACAGGTTCTTTTAATAACCTAGGTATTGCCACCATTACACATCCGGCTTTTGCAATAATGGTGCCTCAGTGGAAAGAGCTCATTATCTAGAATAAATATAGGTATTTTTGCACTTCTCTTTAAAATATAAGACTTAAATAAACAGACAGAAATAGGTTTATGTTTATTTGTTGTACATTCACCATCTTCCCCTCCCCCCCACTCCCCCCAACATGGTGGAGGCATCCTTTCCCATCTAGACCAGTGTTTCTCAACCTTTTAAGTAACTTTTGTTCTCAACCCCCTAACTTTTGAAAATTCTAGTAAGTACCCCAACACTCAATTTTCCAGGGGATTTTATATTTACAGACTAACGTGTACCATATGTTGGAAGAAGGGCTCTGCATATAAGGCTGTGATATGACAGATGTCTGATCTGGTGTGGATAGAGTTGCCACCTTTTACACCAGGGATGCACAACTCAAGTATGTACCTGGGCTAGAGATGATGTTGGCCAAAGCGAGGAGGGCTGAACCCAGTGCCACGCAAAGTGCAGTGCGCCAAATTATTACTGGGGATTTTAAAGTGCTGCGCACCAAATTTTTTCCCACAGCTTTGAGAGGAGGAAGGGACGAGAGAGAGAGGAAAAGAGGGTGTGAGAGCATGTTGGGGTACCCACGTACCCTCTGCCTGTGTCTTGCGTACCCCCAGGGGTACGTGTACCACAGGTTGATAAACTATGATCTAGACTATTCAGTAATATAGATAAATATCCTTTTCCACATAAGGAAGGCTGGTCAAATTTGTATGGACACATATCCAAGCAGTTTCCATTTATGTCAATAGAATTGTACAGGATGTTAGAGTCTGGTATCTCTATCTCTTCGCTGTGACGCATTGCCAAGGTAGTGTATATGAAAATTGCCAAATTGGTACTACCCATGTTTTGTCTATACCCTGGAGAAACCAGTGGATCCTGCTCCTCCCTCCCCATTTTTTTTTTTTATTTTAAAGTAAGAATTCTGATTTGCTCTGTAATACAACAGTATCAAATAAAATGCATCTTATTTTTTTCTGTTTAGTTTTTTATGGATTGTACAATCTTCTGAGGGACTTCAGAGAAGGTCACTCTTTGTCAACAAGCAGGGACCAACTCTGTTCTTTCCCCTAGTCAAAATACTGCAGTGAGATTAGAGACTACTGAAAAGAATATGCTGCACTTTCCTGTGTCTTTATCAAGGGGCCATTGCAGTCCTGTGATAAAACCAATTCAAAAGACAAAATAACAACACACAAATGTTACCCACAGCTCCACTTTAAGTTTATTCTCACTCCTGCCTCTGCCCCCAACACCTCTTGCATCTGATGCCATATGCTTCAAAGCAATCCCGAGGGAGCAGGGGCAGAGCCGTGGGCTCTGGCACGTCTGGCTCTCCACAGTCGTTCACTTGCATGTTGGTGAAGACTCTTTAATGTTAATCAAATTCACACAGCCTGTTTATGCCAAAAAAGCAAACATGAAATAATAAACATTAGCAGTTCTTTTCAATAATCAAGCTATCCCAGAATTGAGACTCTGTCATAAGAGGGGTTTTTTTAAGAAAGAAGTTTAATGTGTACCACCTGAAAGCAACCTTTTCCTACTTCAGAGATTTAAAAATGAGCACAAGGGTCTTTCAGGCATTGAAAGGGTTGGGGTGGGAGGTTGTAATTTTTTTTAATTAAGTTTTTAAAATATCACAGACTAAGATAAAACCTTTCATAGATTTGAAGAGGAGAGAAGAATACCACCATTTAGACCAGTGAATCACAATTTTTGGTACTACAAAAATAGAAAAAGAATAAAGTTATGTATTTATGTCAAGCTTTTAGGAAAAGAAAATTATCCCATTTTCCTCCCAGGTTTTTAATAAATTTGATCTGTGCTCATGCAGTCACGTAAGCGTACTTAGAAAGTGCTAGGATACTGCAGTGATGGACAGGATATAAGATTTGAGACAGATGTAGAATACAAAAGATTTACTTTGATTTCCACTGTACACCTTTAGACAGTTAAAAGGATTTCTCAAACTCCCAACAACACTGTATCATATTTTAAAATAATTTGTGAATTGCAGAGCAGAATGTGATTGCTGCTATGTAGCCTGGATCAGGACAAGTCATGTTCATGATGTCACTTTAATCAGTTCATCACAATTACAAATTCAAAATTAAAAAAAGTCTACTTCAGGGAGTTCTTTAAATTAATGGCTTTGGATTAAATTCTGCACTAAATACCACTCCACTGCTACCACTACATTTTTGATGTTGCAAAGGTTTGGGGCAAAATCTGACATTCAATCTAGGAGTAAAAAAAACACCAATAGCATATTCAACAGAATAAACTAAGAAAGGACAGAGAGTATTTGGTTGGGGGATTGTTATGATTTGGCTGGAGTTTGAATTAAATAAACATTCAGCAACTCACCAAAAGTACTGAACTTTTTCCTACTGATTGGGACGCACAAGTGGTTCACGAGGGTTCTGTTAAGTTGTGGACCTGAGGCTGTACTTTATTTCTTTGGAAACACAGCATTCTTTTGGTTTTACTAGTCTTGTATCGCTTGGACAATAAGACATACAGCACAGGATTGACGCATGGGTGAAGATACTGAAGTATATTACAGACGAAATAGAAAGTGTCCCAAACATAGCCATGATGGAAGAGTCTTAAGTAGATGCATAACTCCAGGATATACAGTGGAAGCCAGCATGCTGAGAAGGTAGCAGCTGCACAAAAGATCATTATTGAGGCTTTTCGGGTGTTTCTGGAACTCACCAAAGACATCATGGGACTTTTGTGCAAGAAGAGAGCAAGCCGGATATAGTTAAATGCAATTATCAAGATTGGGATCAAATAATATAAAATAAACTGGCTAAAAACAATCCAGTAGTGCTGCTGGTGGGGAGCTGGCAGGCAAAATGTGACATTTGTTCCAACTCTTGTTTCCGCTGTGGCATGGATTCGCAATGGCAGACTGATGATAACGCTCAATGCCCAAACCGTAGTCAGCATAAATATTGTGGTAGTCCACTTGGGAGCTCTGTAAGGACTCAAGATGATTCTAGCTCTAGTGACAGAGACAGCACACAAAGAATATATGCTAGCAGCTAAGGAGAAAGCCAGACCAAACTGGAAAACCTTGCAGAATGTGTCTCCCAAAAACCAAGTGTACCAGACAACAGAAGCAAGAATGAAGGGCATCAGTATAAGGGTAAGTAGATCTGCAACAGCCATGCTCAGGAGAAGAACGTCCAACTGGCTTTTCTGCATTGAACGGTGTGTAGCAAAGAGTAAGAAAACCAATGCATTGGCACAAAATCCAATGGCCAAGATCAGTGCAAATGTGCAGGAAAATACTAAAACATAATTTATATACATTTTATAAAGGCAGTTGGAAGTTTCTCCTTTGAAAAAACAGGGAAAAAGTCCATAGTGTGCCCTGTACAATCCACAGGGAAAACTCCTTGATAATTCTTCCTTGATCTTTGCTCTTCACTACCTTTTCTTCTTTCTGTCTCCAGTGAGCTTTATAGGCAGTTTGTAGAATTCCACTCGCTCTGGAGTTCAAGAAAAAAAGTAATGTTAAAAAATATCAACTGCTATCAAGGCAAGTTGCCAGAATTAGCCTTTAAAAGTTGTTTTTGGTACAGTTTTGCCTCTTAAGAGTCCAGATATCAATATTGCTCATTGCTTCTGCCCTTTCTGATTAATACTTCTATATAGTACTTAACCTTATTTAAAAAAGAAGAGAAGAGAAAATGATATGCTGACTTTTCCTCAGATAATGCTTCCCTGAACAAACAGGGAAAGAAAGAAACCAAAGTCCAGCTTCTGGTAACAGGATGATGCTCTGATCCATGAGCTATATGTAATCATTATGCACTTTATGCATGAATACTTCTTTCAATTCAGCAGCCCATAATGGACATTTAAAGCAAATCCTTTCTGGTAAAGTGCCCTTGAGGGAAATTCGTCTGCCAATATTAAATAGCATGTACATGCAGTAAATATTATTAAGTCAAAGGTTAGGTCTGAAGGAAGATGGACAGGTGGCTAATGCACCGAAGTCAAACTGGCAAGCATTGAGCAAGAAAGGTGAAAATGAAAATAGTCTAGTAGATCTCTGTGGAAATTACCTGAAGATGGGAAAGATTATGGGCAAAAATGGAGTAGCGGAGATCAGTTTCATATCACTGGTTGAGTTTGCTTTAAAACAGCTTGTTGTTTGTATGGTCATAGGGCACCTATGGTACTTACTGTGCTCCAGTAGACTCCAGCCTCATGTGTATCAGCATCCCTGCACTGAAAAATGGCGGTTGATTGAATGAGCTTTAGTTAAAGTGCCCCCACTGCCATTTTTCAGTGCGGGGATGCTGATACACATGAGGCTCTGGGCGCTTCAATTAAAGCAGCTCTCGGAGCCACTCTAATAAAGCACCTCCTCCCCGCCCCCCAACACTGAGCATGTGTATAAACACCCATAGTGCCTAGAGTCCCCCTGCAGAATATTGGCTTCAGTTAAAAACTGTACAGTCAGCCCCAAAACACTGACAATCTAGATTAAGACAAAGTGTGCATGAAATGAAAGGTTTGGAGAAAGCAAGGCTGGGTAAGAGTAGTACCCAGTAGTAGTTGTTTCATTTGTCAACATTTCCAGCATTAACCGGTCAGAAAAGTTTAGCTTCAAATGATGTCATTTGAATCTTCCTTGCCTTACTACCCATTTGATTCTGATGTTATTCAAAAGTTATCTCTAGTCTTTGATTACTGCCTAGTTACTTTTGGAACCTACAGCCCCATCTTTCCTGACACTGTTATCAAGAGGGAGCAAATGATAAGGCTGCTAAAATCATCTGCAGAATTAGAATTAGAAATGAAGGAAGGAGGGGAGAAACAATAGTAATCAGAATTATGTGATCCAAAAGTCAAATATTATGTGACTTAAAATGTCATAAGAGGTTTTCTTGCATGTACACTGAGTACCGTAGATTTCTAACAGCATGTGGCATTTGTTTCTAGAACTGATGCTGCCCATCCATTAATATGGCCCCTAGTCCCTCTGGTTAGCAAGGCTTTTTAGGCACTCATGGCCTGATGGTGCAGGGGCAGAATTTTTTCTGTGTATTTTTCTGCTTTTACTGAACAGAATACAACCCTGCCCTGAGGATTTTGAAAAGGAGAGGCTGGTTATATCTTAATGCTTGATATGTGCAAAGATGAGCCATAAAAAGTTACCTTTTCATTAGTTATAGTCCAAAATAAAGTCACCCTTTCATTCCTCTCCCCAAACTGCACCACTGTTTGAAATTACATCCTGATTCTCCAGCCTGCCGCCTGTACCGTTGTCCTGGTATGACTCTCTGGGTGCAGGGGAGCTTATAGCCTCACACCAATATGATAAGAGATCCTTTCCTTCCCTTCCACAAACCTGTCATGTGGAAGAAGAGTGTCCTGCCATTTCAATTATCCTATATCTTTGTATGAAGTGCTCAGATTCCTGTTCTCTCTGATGTACTCAGGGGAGACCTTAAAGACCCTTGCACTGGGACTCCTACACGTGGAACCAGTTTGGAGTGGCAAGTAGTGTCCTCCATTTTGTCAGACACTCATTTTCAAATCAGAGATTAAATTTATCACTAGCCTCCAGAGGCAGAGCTTGGTGTTTTTGGCAAGGAGCCTGTCTTGCTCCCCTTGACTGTAGTGATGCAATTGAGGGCCTTAAGCTGCTATGCCACCCACCATCTTGGCTTAATTAAACAGGATTATCCAAATGGCCCGGCTCAGAGTTTCTCTCATTTTCCACCTCCAATTTTATGATTGCTCTTAAGGCAGTGCTGCCATCCACCCCACACATTTTCAGGTTTATTCCTGGTTGCAGTTGGTCTCACCAAGTAGGAAAGTATGAATTTGCAACCTTGTGGTTATTTTTATATAAGAATGTCTTAATACATGGTGGATGTTTGAGTCTAGCTTTCTATGTTTTTCAAATGGTGTCTGTATTTTGATTTTTAATTTGCTTCTGAGCAAGACTGTCTACAAACACTGGCCAAATCTAGCTATAAAGGACTCTCGGATCTGGAAGGGGTCCCTTGAGAAAGCACTTCAAATCATTTATTCAGCATTGGCTGGTTTCACATTTGGCTTGAAGTCTGACAACTTTCCACCAGACCTGCAGCATAGTAAAGCACATCCTCTCTATGACAGCAGCAGAGCCAAGGAACTAGCAGGTTGCAGGAGTGAATGCTATAAAGCAGATGTTATTAGTGGACTTCTCCAAGGGTGGGAGGTTGAGTACAGTAGCCTTATTACAGTCTCAGAGGTGGGCTATGAGATTGCCGTCTTATGAGCAAGCTGTGCCTACAGTATTTGGCTTAGCACAGCATCCTGAAAATTCCAGTGCTGAGCAGCACTTTTGCGCAATGTGTAAACTCTATGCTAGATTTGAAAGGAAAGATTTTGATTAAAATCAGCATTTTAGAGCCTTCTCTTGGCAGCCATCATGGTGTTAAGGATGGACATAGTTGGAGACTCCTGGAGTAAAGAGGCCCAATGTGTGAATGTTTAAACCAGGTTCTATCCAGTTGTGATGGTGGTTTTTAAAGGGAAAAAAATACTGCTGTATATTTACACACAACGCCTGATTTTGCTCCTATTAAACCAATGGCAAAGCTCCCGATGACTTCCATGGGTGCCTGCCTCAAAATGTTTGAACAGTAAATATATTCTTCTGGGTGGGAAACCAGGATAGAAATCTCTGACAGCTTGCTCTCCATATTGCAAATGTCAAGATTTTTCAACACTAGGCTCAGAAATGTTAATTCAACTTTAAAACCCTTTTTAATTTCAAACACAGTAGATGGCCAAACCTCACTACTGTCACTCAGTGTAAGATGACAGCATATACATAGGGCCCAGATTTACCTCAGTCCACTGCTTGTGTGTGTACGTGTGTATACGTAGTTTTACACAACTATACATTTGTAAAAAAAAAATAGCCCCACATAGATGCATACATTACACACATACACACACATATCAGAGATGTTGAGTACTGTGATAATAAATAATAGCTTTTGCTCCTAGAGGACCATTTAACAAAACACCTCAGCATTTTTATGCTTTACTTACTTTGACACTACAGGAAGTAATGTTTGAGTGCTAAATTGAAGTCAAGGGTGTTAACCAGTAGTTAGAATTTCAAAGAGGAATAGAAAGTTTGTTCTTTTTTGCGGCAATCACGTTCTGAGTTAGGATGATGTTTAACCCAGGACACTTTAATACCATGGCATGTAAAACAAGTAGAGGACTCAGTCAAAAGAGTAGTTTTAAAGGCTGATGAACACCTTAGAATGATGTTTATGGTCTATAATACCTACAACTTACAAAACAGGAAATCAGATTTTTAAAAAGTAAAAATGTACCGGCTTTACTAGCATTTGTTGGCTGACCCTCCGTTAGGTAAAGCTATCTCTCTCACTTTTTCCTAAAAATCTGAGACAAAAGCCTTTTCTCAACAATTGTCTCTGAAAGACTCTTCAACCAAGAGAGTTCACATACAAAATGTGGACTTTTTTTCTGAGACAGAGGTAAGGTGACCATACATTTCTTGGTCCAAAATAATACCTAATGCTTTCTTGTTATCTGAGCTTTACACTGCATTCTTTAATTTGTATCCACGGAGTAAAGTTTTAATAACTTTTTAATTCCATTAGCATCGAATTACATGATCTTATAAAACAGTATATTTGTTCTCTAAAATACTAGGTTTGTTGGTGCTCTATGTTCTCTTTCAGTCATTTGAAGGGGTCTCTTGTGTCTCAAAGCATGGGACATCCACTGCAGATTGGTTCTACCAGGTTTCCTACTTCCAGGTAATGAAACTATCTTCTTTATAAAACTCTTATCTAGTACAACCCTTGGTCTCACAATGTTTTGTTTCTCTTGAATTTTTTGCCTAGAATCAAGGGGGATATTTGCTCAGAGAACACAATTAGCTCACCTGGCTTATTTTGGCTCTTGAGAAAGACAGGGGAAAAAGGAAGATAACATACGCTCTCTGATCATCATGTTAGAACGAGGAAGCATAAGATGCACCCTTTGCTCAGCAAATATCCTGTGTCCTCTTGTATAATTTTCAGTCCCATTGATCCAGATAGTAATCCCTTGTGAAGCTAAGCAAGGTTTCGGTGCTTTAGGTGGAATACTGTAACTCCTGGAGACAGCTTGGAAAAAGCTAAGTGTCTTTGCTGAGTCTACCAGAAAATTGACAAAGCCTTGCAACTATGAAGCCTATCTTGGGTGGTATACGTCTGTTCTATGGAGGCAGAAGCAGTGGAGCAGCTGCCTCTGTGGAAGGCAAAGTTTATCCAGGATCAGTG